ACCTCTGCAGACTTTTACTAATTTTCAGTGTCTTGATTCTTTTTGGTCCAGTATACATAGCTTCTCATAACAGATTTCATCCTTGAAATTCGCGGATGTCCACTGAAATTAATTCAATATCCGCTTTTGTAATATAATAAGTATTACTACACTTTGTGCAAAAATCATTACATCGTCACAAGTTTGGTTTGCATTCTAAAAATCGTCTATCTTATTTATTTTTTAGTCGTTTTTTTTCCCCGAAATAAACACGTCTTGTTCTGATTTTAGTTTTATTTCTTCCAGGGTAACTGGTTATCTGCATACTACCTTACATAATATATTCTTAATTTCTATTTCACTTTTAAATACTGCAATAACAGCGTCCTCAAACGGTTCAGTATTTTTTTGTTCCAATTTTTTAGACGCTTGGTATTCCATCCTGAAATCGAAATTTAATAAGATGATTACACCAGAGTCTTAATCTATTCGCTCTATGCGTAAGAATTCATAATTGGGTTATCCTGCTTGTGTTGCACGGTTCAGAGTCCTGTTGCCAGATACAGGGTCTTCTCTTGAGTGCGAGCAGCACTACCCCCTCAAGGCGCTTGATGTAGGCCTCCGTGTTGAGTGTAAGGCCTTCTGGGAATATGAATGGAGGCATAACGTCGCTATCAATAGTGATCACTCCTTCGTACTCACAATTAGACTCATCCAAATCTTCGCGAATCCTCTGAACTGTTCTTAGATTGACATCCAAACACCCTAAAATGTTTGTATTGGAGCTTCCAGCGCAGTACAGCATGCCATTTCCAAATATCTTGCGACGTGAATTGCGTCATGGCGCTCTTTTTAACGTAGGTGTCCAACTGACCCTATTATACTGTGCAGCCAACAAATCAAAAATAAACGCGCATGCGCGAAATTAAAAATATATAATGGCGACAATTTACCCATCGCACCCTGTATAAGCACTGCAGGTGTTAACCTCTAGGGTCGCTAAGTACAACAGGTGAATCGTGGATTTCCACTTCCGGTTGGGGGTCATCTCAGGTCAACTCCGCACATAGCTGCCATAGCTTTGTGGAAAATTGAGTGCAAAGCCTATTGTGGCATAATAGTACAATGCGGGCTATACACGGACCTTGTTGCAGGTAAGTTTTACATTTTATATATTTATACAGGCTTCCACTGTAATTGAATATGGCACAAGGCGTATTTTAAAGAGGTAAGCCCAGGTATTCAGGGGATTATAAAGGAATTTCGTATAGTTTCTTTCAATATTCCTTATCCCTACACCCAAGCCATCATTCTGCCACTGGGTGGCATGCCACTGGGGTTTACCGCTGGTGGCCCGCTGTCGGACTGCCGGCGTGTTCGTATAGGTAATGTTAACACTGACGGACCGCTAGAGGCCCGCCGGTAGCCTGTTGATGGCTGCCACTAGAGAACCGCAGGCATTAGCATCGGTGACCCGGCAGCGGGACACTATCGCCTTGAGTGTAGGGATGTTTTATGTCAGTCAAAGTGAAGGGGGATAAGAACATTATTATTGAATGTGTCCTGATCTGGCCGCGATAACGGAAGTTAACACTTTCGTGGATTAAACATAAATGTGTTAAAAAAAAAAGCAAAAAAAGGGCATCAATCAAGTAACACAACGCATTGCTTCTGACTGAAAAAAAAACCAAATGAAATAACGTTAGAAAAGATTTCAGCCAATAAAATCTTTACCCGCGTAAAAAACAAAAATGGAGCCTCTGGTGACATATAAGATGAAAATGTCGTCTTGCTGAAAGATTTTCTTCGGATGTCACACAGGTCAATTCTTTTTTCTCTCTGAATTGCGACAGTCATTCTCATACGAAGCAAACCTCCATTTTGATATTATTTAAAATTTTAATCAACAATTCTCTTTTTATAATAATGATGTGTCACTTCTAACTTTAAAATATGTCACAAACATTATTGCTTATATGTAAAGTAAAATCCATTGTTACAAACGTTCATTAAAAAATTGTAAACAAGTCTTAAACTTGTTTTATCATAAAATAACCTTGTACCTTTGTAGGGATGCAGAAGGTGATTAATTCCTTTTTTTTGTAGTGACAGTCGATTAGTGACGTCAACTCGTTTAGTGATTAACAACAGTTGCTGTGTAGACCGTAAGGAAGGCCGACATGATAATCCGAAGACAAATGGAAACACATAATTCAAACAAAGAACATAAGTTATCACTCGGCCTGGTCGTTTTTCGCCGGAAAAGATTACAAGTAAAACCCTGTCGGTTTTTCGCGTTTTCATACTGCTTGTTTAATCGACGTGTGTTATAGTTTCTCTCTGTGCGACAAATAGTGGCAGGTATATACTATATTTGTATATAAAATTTTGTGTGACATAACAGCATTTAAAATCCTTTTGAGCACAATGCTTATTTGGCAATGATTTATATCATCTCCAGTGAGCCTCCCTTGCTTTATGTTAAGATTCTAGCGGAACCGACTTCCAAGAGGATGCTACAATTTTAACCTGTTTTTGTCTAGGGTTATCCTCCTAACATATCCTCGTAAACTGTCCCACTAACCATTTACTTTTTAATCCCGTTATTCCTGTCGCTCTTTGTCCTTGTACAGGATGAAGATTAACGTCAAAAATATCACGGCTACAATAAGGTCTCTAATGGGTATTGGAGAGTGGTGATAACTGAGATTTGCTCGTACGAAACACACCATTAACTTTATTCGAAAGTGCCTCGCCTTTATTAAATTCAGGTTATCAGTTGCAGCCCAACATGTAGGATCTTTCTTATTGTTAATTGTCTCGGAGTATTTCAACTGAAATAAATTCATGTGCTATTATATTTAACCTTTGACAGTGAACAGGTCGAAATTGACCGAGGCATTTATTTAATAAATGTTTGTTTATAATCTGAAGAAACACATATACAAAGTTTTGTATTTTGTTTTGTTGATACTTCTTTATATCAGCAAATATAACAGCTACTCTCAAAGTCGTTCAAACTGTAAACAAATTCTAAATGATGATACACACACACACACACACACACACACACACACACACACACACACACACACACATATATATATATATATAAAAAATATATATATATATATATATATATTTTAAGCATTTCACCCCAAGCAAGGCGGGAAGCCACTAAGACGCAAGGGATTACAGAAAATTTAGAGCAAGATCAGATAGGAGTGATAGAAGAAAGGATGAGGGTAGTGGATAGATCAAGGCAACTGGAGATGTCGAATGACATTACACTTGAATAGCTGGAGATTATAGCTCACAGGGAAACAGGAGAAGAGAAGGGAGTTCCACAGGCGAGAGGTGCGAGATATGAAGCTATTAGAGTAGAAGAGACGGCTACATTTAGGAGTTTCGACAGTGAAGAGGTGAGAGCGGGATGCCAGCCTCGTAGGGCGCTGGAACTCATGACGTCTGGGAACCAGCGAATGCAGCTCCTCGGGGCAATTTCCATGAAAGTATTTGTAGAACAGAGGGAGGCGACGGCGCGTCTGTGAGAAAGTGACTGTAGACGAGACGCCAGGGCAGGGCCAACGATATTGCATATCCGCCTCTGGAGCCTATCAAGAACCCCGAGGCAAACAGAAGGAGCACCAGACCATATATGGTAGCAATACTCCATGCAAGGGCGAATTGTGGATTTATAGATTAGGAGGATCATATTACACAGGAAACATGTAAAAATTGCAACACAAATTCAGTCGTGTTTCAATGCATATCAATGCGTCTCATCAGGCGATTGAAAAGTACTAGCGAGTGAATGAATTACTTATTGATCTGAATAAAGCACATAAACCTTATAACCCTCCTTTTTTCCTTAAAAAGAGTTTGTATTTTGGTTCTAAATCTAAATAAATCGTTCAATCGCCAGTAATTTACAATCGCTTGGTGAGATGAGGTGAAACGCATTGAAAAACTACTGCAATTATGTAGCGACTTTTAGATGTTTTCAGTGTAATATTCTAAAATAAAGAATATTGCTCTAATTTGCTTTAAGCCCTCTTTTAAATTAAATATTACGAACGTTGGAATTGGAATCTATTCGTTTTTATCGTACCTGTATATATATATATATATATATATATGCTATTGTTTTATGTTATATTTTCATAAAATGAGGTCGAGTCTGATGAGATGAATATGCATAAAGGTTGTCTCCGTACAATCTGTGGCCTAACGTTTGATGATCGAGTGTCAAATGCTGACATTTTTGAAAAATGCAACATTGGTATTACGAGGCCTTCATAATACAATCACAACTACGTTGGGCTGGACATGTGGCAAGAATGAGGGATGATCACATAGCAAATGTTCTTTTTTGCAGTGAACTCCATAGAAATGTTGGTAGATCTTGGCTCATGTATAAAGATAAAGTGAAAAGCAACCTTTCTTGCGTCGACATTCCTTTCAAGAACTTTAAAGAGGTAGCTATGAAGATATCAGAGTATCGTTCTAGCTGCCATTCAGGAATAAGGCACCATCTAGAAGTAGGCATCAGTCGACTTCGCGAAGAACAAAAGCAAATAAAACAACTAACAGATAATTAGTTCGTGGTCGTCGGAACCTCATACGTCGAACTCGATGGGAGAGTCCATCATATATATATATATATATATATATATATATATATATATATATGGGGTGCGTATGTGGGTTTTCATCTATGTATTTGTGGGCGTGTGTACATAGATTTAGAGGTATTTTCATATCTACTAATATTTTTGACTTGAGATTACCGGGGAAATAAAATGTAATAATAAAATTAAATGAATTTTAAGAGCAAAATCGACAGAGTGTAAAAGAAAGCATGAATAGAATATAGTTAAATGAATTCCAACACTTAGGGGATGTTAAAAAAAAAACTACAATGAAAAACAAAATAGTAATATGGCAAGGAGATCAAAAACATAGTCTCGTTTTCTCGTTGCTTTTTTTTTAGCTGTCATTACGGCGTCCATCTTTGCTCCATGCACTTACAATCCGGTCACCTGGTCTCCCACCATTCAGAAGAAACAGAACAATTGCTAGGTAGGACAAGTCGGAAAAGTTGGGCGTCGAAAACTACGAAGATTAGAAAACAGATTGCAAAAGATTTGAATTCTTTGAAATCTCTTTTTATTTTTTATAGTTTGCCTTGTCGACTTAGACCAGTATTTTTTTGCCATTACCCAATCAGCTTTCCTTTGAGTTATCTCCCCTTAATATATACTTTTCATGTTCTTCAATTTCCGACTGTATCTTTTAACTATTCACTTTCTTTTGTAATTTCTTTTTTTTTTTAACTTTTTCTTGATAATTTGTTCTCACTTATACGTTTTAAAAATGTTTTTTCTTCTTTTTTCATTTTTTTGCCCTAAAACATGTTTATTTCTCGTTGTTTCCTTTCAATACAATCATTTATCTTTAAGATACAAATGTACTTGATGTTTTTAGCTGCGCTTACGTCATACTTTTTTCACCTGCTTTCTTTACAGTAAAATATTTTTCTCTTATTGATGTTTTTCGATATCAACTTTCTTCATTGCATTTAACTTAAAAAAGGAACTGCTGCTTTTATAACAACACAACATTCTTTCACCTCTATTTTTAGTTGGCTTTGTTTCATTCGTCAATTTTCTATTATTTTTCTTTCTTTCTTTCTTTCTCTCCCCCATTATGTTCTTTCTTTCTTTCTCTCACCCATTATGTTCTTCCTTTCTTTCTCTCACCCATTATGTTCTTCCTTTCTTTCTCTCACCCATTATGTTCTTCCTTTCTTTCTCTCCCCCATTATGTTCTTCCTTTTATTCTCTCCCCCATTATGTTCTTCCTTTCTTTCTCTCACCCATTATGTTCTTTCATTCTTTCTCTCTCCCATTATGTTCTTCCTTTCTTTCTCTCCCCCCATTATGTTCTTCCTTTCTCTTTCTCTCCCCCCCATTATGTTCTTCCTTTCTTTCTCTCCCCCCCATTATGTTCTTCCTTTCTTTCTCTCACCCATTATGTCCTTTCTTTCTTTCTCTCCCCCATTATGTTCTTCCTTTCTTTCTCTCCCCCATTATGTTCTTCCTTTCTTTCTCTCCCCCATTATGTTCTTCCTTTCTTTCTCTCACCCATTATGTTCTTCCTTTCTTTCTCTCTCCCATTATGTTCTTCCTTTCTTTCTCTCACCCATTATGTTCTTCCTTTCTTTTTTTCCTTTCTTTCTTGTCATACATTATGTCCTTTCTTTACTTCTATATTTTGTATATAATGTTCTGTTTCTTTTATTTTATTTTAAACGTTATATTTTTCGTTCTTTTTGTTTTCTTTCTTTCTATCTTTTTCTCACACAATATGTTCTTTCTTTCTTTTTCTTTTATTCTTTTTGTACATTATCTTCTTTCTTTTTTCTTTTCTTTTTTTCTATTTAAACATTATGTTCTTGCTTACTCTTTTTCTTTCTTTCTTTCTTAATTTTGTATGTTATGTTCTTTTTCTTTTATCTTTCATTTATCAATTACTTTTTCTTTCTTTTTTATGGAATGTGTTTTTCTCTTTCTACGTTCTATATATTACGTTCTTTTATATTTCATTTTTTTCTTTTCCTTTCATTCTTAATGTTATATGTTTTGCTATTTTCTTTCTTTTACTTTTCTTTCGTTTTTATATCTCATGTTCTTTCCTTTTTTTTCATACGTTATTTTCTTCTTTTATCTTTCTTTCTTTCTTTTATCCATAATAATATTTCTTTCTTTCTGTCTTTTCTTTCTTTCTTATACATTATAATTTTTCTTTCTCTGTTTTACATATTTTGTTCTTTTTTTTTTGTCTTTCTTTTATCCATTATGTTATCTTTCTTTCTTTCTTGTACATCTATTCTTTTCTTTCTTTCTCTCTTTCTTTCTCTCTTTCTTTATTTCTTTCTTTCTTTCTTTCTTTCTTTCTTTCTTTCTTTCTTTCAGTTACTTTCTTTGAGTTCCTTTCTTTCTTTTTCCATATTGTACTTCTATTCTTTCTTTCTTTCTTTCTTTCTTTCTTTCTTTCTTTCTTTCTTTCTTTCTTTCTTTCAGTTCCTTTCTTTCTTTTTCCATATTGTATTTCTATTCTTTTTCTTTTCTTTCTTTCTTTCTTTTTCCATATTGTATTCTTTCTTTCAGTTTTTTTTTCTTTCTTTTTTCTTTCTTTCTTTCTTTTTTAGTTCTTTCTTTTTTTTTTTTCTTTCTTTTTTCTTTCAGTTTTTTTTTCTTTTTTTTCCATTTGTACTGCTATTCTTTTTTCTTTCTTTCTTTCTTTCTTTCTTTCTTTTTTTTTTTTATTTTTCTTCTTCTTTTTTTCTTTCTTTTTTTCTTTCTTTCTTTCTTTCTTTTCTTTCTTTCTTTTCTTTTTTCTTTCTTTCTTTTTTTTCCATCTTTTTTTATTTTTTTCTTTTTTTTCTTTCTTTTTTTCATTTTTTCTTTTTTCTTTTTTCATTCTTTCAGTTCTATTCTTTTTTTTCTTTCTTTTTTCTTTTCTTTCTTTCTTTTTTCTTTCTTTTTTCCTTTCTTTCTTTCTTTCTTTCAGTTTCCTTTCTTTCTTTTTTCATTTTTTTATATTTTATTTTTTTTTTTTATTTCTTTTTTCTTTCTTTCTTTCTTTCTTTTCTTTCTTTCTTTCTTTTTCTTTCTTTCTTTCTTTCTTTTTTTTTATTTACTTTTATTTTTTTTCTTTTTTTTCTTTCTTTTTTTCTTTCTTTCTTTCTTTCTTTCTTTCAGTTTCCTTTCTTTCTTTTTCCATTTTAGTTCTACTTTTATTTTTTCTTTTTTTTTTTTCTTTCTTTTCAGTTTCCTTTCTTTCTTTTCCATATTTCTTTCTTTCTTTTCTTTCTTTCTTTTCTTTCTTTTTTTTAGGGTTTTTTTTTTCTTTTTCTTTTTTTCCATATTGTTTCTTTTTTTCTTTATTCTTTCTTTCTTTCTTTCTTTTTTTCATTTCTTCTTTCTTTCTTTTTTTCTTTCTTTTTTTTTCTTTCCATATTTTTTTCTAGTCTTTTTTTTCTTTTTTTTCTTTCTTTCTTTTTCTTTCTTTCCTTTTTTCCATCTTTTCTTTTTTATTTTCTTTTTTCTTTCTTTCTTTTTTCTTTCGATTTTTTTCTTTTTTTCTTTCTTGTTTCATTCTTTCTTTTTCCATTTCCTTTTTTCTTTCTTTCTTTTATTTCTTTCTTTTATTTTCTTTCTTTTTTTCTTTCTTTTTTCTTTTTTTTTGAGTTTTTCTTTCTTTCTTTTTTCATTCTTCTTTCTTTTCTTTTCTTTTTCTTTTATTTTTTCTTTCTTTTTTTCTATTCTTTTTTTCATTTTGTTTCTTCTTTTCATTCTTTCTTTCAGTTTCCTTTCTTCTTTCTTTCTTTTAGTTTCCATTTTATTTTTTCTCTTCTTTTCTTTCGATTTTTTTCTTTTTTATGCTTGAGTTTTCTTCTTTCTTTCTTTCCTTTCTTTCTTTCTTTCTTTTTTTTTCTTTTCTTTTTTTTTTTCTTTCTTCTTTTTTTTCGATTTTTTTTTCTTTTATTTTGAGTTTTCTTTCTTTCTTTTCCTTTCTTTCTTTCTTTCTTTTTTTCTTTCTTTTTTTTTTTCCTTTCTTTTTTTTCTTTTTCGATTTTTTCTTTTCTATTCTTTTCTTTCTTTCTTTCTTTCTTTCTTTCTTTTCTTTTTTTTTTTTTTTTTTAGTTTCCTTTTTTCTTTTTCCTCTTCTTTTTTTTCTTTTCGATTTTTTTTTTTTATTCTTTCTTTCTTTCTTTCAGTTTCCTTTCTTTCTTTTTTTTTTTAGTTGGGTTTTATTTTTTTTTTCTTTTTTTTTCTTTTTTTTTCTTTTTTCTTTCTTTCATTCTTTCTTTCAGTTTCCTTTCTTTCTTTCTTTCTTTTTTTCTTTCTATTTTTTTTTTTTCTTTTCTTTTTTTTTTTTCGATTTTTTCCTTTTTTTTTTTATTTCTCATTTTTTCTTTTCAGTTTTCCTTTCTTCTTTTTTCTTTTTTTTTAGTTTTTCTTTTATTTTTCCTTTTCTTTTTTTTCTATTCGATTTTTTTTCCATTTTTTCTTTGAGTCATTCTTTCTTTTTTTTCTTTCTTTCTTTTTTCTTTCTTTTTAGTTCCTTTTTTCTTTTCCATATTTTTTTCTATTCTTTTTTTTTCTTTTTTCTGCTTTCTTTCTTTCTTTCTTTCTTTCTTTCTTTCTTTTTTTCAGTTTTTTTTTCCTTTCTTTCTTTTCTTTTTTTTCTTTTTTTTCTTTTTTTTTCTTTTTTCTTTCTTTCTTTCTTTTTTCCATTCTTTTTCTTTCTTCTTTTTTCTTTCTTTTTTCTTTTTTCTTTTTTTTCTTTCTTTTCTTTTTCTTTTTTTCCTTTCTTTCTTTCTTTTTCTTTCTTTTTCTTTTTTCTTTTCTTTCTTTCTTTCTTTTTTTCTTTTTTTTTTTTTTTTCCTTTTCTTTTTTTCTTTCTTTTTTTCCTTTTATTCTTTTTTTTTTCTTTCTTTCAGTTTTCTTTTTCTTTCTTTCTTTTTAGTTGGGTTTTTTTTTTTCTTCATATTTTTATTCTATTTTTTTTTCTTTCTTTCTTTCTTTCTTTCTTTCTTTTCATTTTCTTTCTTCTTTCTTTCTTTTTTCTTTCCATTTTTTTTTCTTTTCTTTTTTTTTCATTCGATTTTTTTTTTTTTTTGTATTGTACATTCTTTCTTTTTAGTTTCCTTTCTTTCTTTCTTTCTTTTTTCTTAGGGTTTTTTTTTTTTCTTTTCTTTTTTTTTTATTCTATTTTTTTCTTTTATTCTTGAGTCTTTCTTTCTTTTTTTCTTTTCCTTTTTCTTCTTTCTTTCTTTTTTTTTTTCTTTTTATTTTTTTCTTCTTTTTTTTTCTTTCTTTTTTTTCTTTTTTTCTTTCTTTTTCTTTCTTTCTTTCTTTCAGTTTCCTTTCTTTTTTTTTCTTTTTCTTTTTTTTAGGGTTTTTTCTTTTTTCCTTCTTTTTCTTTTTTTATTTTCTTTTTTTTTCTTTTTTCTTTCTTTTCCTTTTATCTTTCTTTCTTTCAGTTTCCTTTTTTCTTTCTTTCTTTTTTAGTTTCTTTTTTTTTTTCTTTCTTTTTTTCTTTCTTTTTTTTTTTTTTTGAGTTCTTTCTTTCTTTTCCATTTTCCTTTCTTCTTTCTTTTATTTTTTAGTTTCTTTTATTTTTTCTTTTCTTTTTTTTCTATTCCTTTTTTTTCCTTTTCCATATTGAGTCATTCTTTCTTTTATTTTTCTTTCTTTCTTTCTTTCTTTTTTCAGTTTCCTTTCTTTTTTTTTTCTTTTTTTCTTTCGATTTTTTTTTTTTTTTTTTTTCTTTCTTTTCTTTTTTCAGTTTCCTTTCTTTTTTCTTTCTTTCTTTTTTAGTTCTTTTATTTTTCTTTCTTTTTTCTATTTTTCGATTTTTTTTCTTTTTTCTTTCTTTTTCATTCTTTTTTCAGTTTCCTTTCTTCTTTCTTTCTTTTTGTTACTTTATTTTTTTTTCTTTCTTTTTTCTTTTCTTTTTTTTTTCTTTTTGTACTTGAGTCTTTCTTTCTTTCAGTTTTCTTTTCTTCTTTCTTTCTTTTTTTCCATTTTTTTTTCTTTTTTCTTCTTTTTTTCTTTTCTTTTTTCATTTTTTCTTGAGTCATTTTCTTTTCTTTCAGTTTCCTTTCTTTCTTTCTTTCTTTTTTCTTTAGGGTTTTCTTTTTTCTTTCTTCTTTTTTCTATTCTTTTTTTTCTTTTTTTTTTTCGATTTTTTCATTCTTTTCTTTTCAGTTTCCTTTCTTCTTTCTTTCTTTTTTTTTCCTTTCTTTTTTTTTCTTTTCTTTTTTTCTATTCGATTTTTTTTTTCCTTTTTCCATATTGTACTGCTTTCTCATTCTTTCTTTCTTTTTTCCTTTTTCTTTCTTTCTTTTTAGTTAGGGTTTTATTTTTCCTCTTCTTTTTTCTTTCTTTTTTTTTCTTTTTTCTATTGAGTCATTCTTTCTTTCTTTTCCATAGTTTTTTTTTTCTTTCTTTCTTTCTTTTTTTTAGGGTTTTTTTTTTTCCTTTCTTTTTTTTTCTTTCGATTTTTTCCTTTTGTACTTGAGTCATTCTTTTTTTTTCTTTCCTTTCTTCTTTTTTCTTTCTTTTTTTCTTTCAGGGTTTTATTTTTCCTCTTCTTTTTTCTATTCGATTTTTTTTATTTTATTTTCTTTTCTTTCTTTCTTTCTTTTTTCTTTCTTCTTTCTTTCTTTTTTTTTTGTTTTTATTTTTTTCTCTTCTTTTTTTCTTTCGATTTTTTTCCTTTCTTTTGAGTCTTTCTTTCTTTCAGTTTCCTTTCTTTCTTTTTTTCTTTTTTAGTTGGGGTTTTATTTTTTCCTTTTTTTTTTTCTTTTTTTTTTCCTTTTATGCTTGATTCATTCTTTCTTTTTTCAGTTTCCTTTCTTTCTTTCTTTCTTTTTCTTTTTTCTTTTCATTTTATTTTCCTCTTCTTTTTTCTATTCGATTTTTTTTTTTTTATCTTTTTGAGTCATTCTTTCTTTCTTTTCCTTTTTTTCTTTCTTTCTTTTTCTTTCTTTCTTTTTTTCAGTTTTCTTTTTTTTCTTCTTTTTCCTTTTTTTTCTTGAGTCATTCTTTCTTTCTTTTTTCTTTTTCTTCTTTCTTTCTTTTTTTTCTTTCCTTTTTTTTTTTTTTCTTTTTTTTTCTATTCTTTTTTTTTTTCTTTTTTCTTTCTTTCTTTCTTTTTTTTTCTTTTTTTTCTTTCTTTTCTTTCTTTTTTTTTCCTTTTTTTTTTTCCTCTTCTTTTTCTATTCGATTTTTTTTCTTTCTTTCTTGAGTCATTCTTTCTTTCTTTCCCTTTCTTCTTTCTTTCTTTTTTTTTCCATTTTTTTTTTTCCTCTTCTTTTTTTTATTCGATTTTTTTCCTTTTTTGCTTTCTTTCTTTCTTTCAGTTTCCTTTCTTTTTTTCTTTCTTTTTCCATATTGTACTTTTATTTTTTTTCTTCTTTTTTCTATTCTTTTTTTTTCCATTTTGTACTTCTATTCATTCTTTCTTTCAGTTTCTTTTCTTCTTTCTTTCTTTTTAGTTTCTTTTATTTTTTTCTTTCTTTTTTCTTTCATTTTTTCTTTTTTTTTCCATTCTTTTTTTTCTTTCTTTCTTTTTCTTTCCTTTTCTTTTTTTTTTTCCATTCTTTTTTCTATTCTATTTTTTTCTTTCTTTTTTCTTTTCTTTCTTTCAGTTTTCCTTTTCTTTTTTTCTTTTTTCTTCCATTTTTTTTCCTTTTTTTTTTCTTTTCTTTCTTTCTTTTCCATGTTTCTTTCTTTCCATTTTTTTTTCTTTCTTTTTAGTTAGGGTTTTATTTTTCCTTTCTTTTTTTTTCGATTTTTTTTTCTTTTATGCTTTCTTTCATTTCTTTCTTTCAGTTTCCTTTCTTTTTTTCTTTCTTTTTTTCTTTTCTTTTCTTTTTTTTCTTCTTTTTTTTTATTCTTTTTTTCCTTTTTATTCTTTTTTTCTTTCTTTCTTTCAGTTTCCTTTCTTTCTTTCTTTCTTTTTAGTTTTTCTTTTTTTTTCTTTTTCTTTCTTTTTTTCTTTTTTTTTTTTTCCTTTTATGCTTTCTCATTCTTTCTTTCAGTTTCCTTTCTTCTTTCTTTCTTTTTAGTTTCTTTTTTTTTTTTCCTCTTCTTTTTTTCTTTCGATTTTTTCTTTTTCTTTTCTTTTCTTCATTCTTTCTTTCAGTTTTCTTTCTTCTTTCTTTCTTTTTTTTTTTCTTTTTCTTTTCTTTTTTCTTTTCGATTTTTTTTTTATGTGAGTCTTTTTTCAGTTTTCTTTCTTCTTTCTTTCTTTTTCAGTTTTTTATTTTTCTTTCTTTCTTTCTTTTTTCTTTTTTCCATTTACATTTTTCTTTTCTTTTCTTTCTTTCTTTCTTTCCATTTTTTCCTTTTTTTTTCCTCATTTTTTTCTTTCAGTTTTTTTTTCTTTTGTGCTTTCTTTCTTTTTTTTTTCTTTTTCTTTTTTTTTATTTTTTATTTTTTTCTTTTTTTCTTTCGATTTTTTTTTTCCTTTTATGCTTGAGTCTTTCTTTCTTTCAGTTTCCTTTCTTCTTTCTTTCTTTTTTCTTAGGGTTTTCTTTTCCTTTCTTTTTTTTCTTTCGATTTTTCCTTTTTTATTCTTTCTTTCAGTTTCCTTTTTCTTTTTTCTTTTTTCTTTTTTTCTTTCTTTTTCTTTCTTTTTTCTTTTTTTTTTTTTTTATTTTTCATTCTTTCTTTTCTATTCCTTTTCTTTTTTTTCTTTTTTTTTTTCAGTTTTTTTTTCTTTTTTCTTTTTTTTATTCTTTTTTCCTTTCTTTTTTTCTTTTCTTTCTTTCAGTTTCCTTTCTTCTTTTTTTCTTTCTTTTTTTTCCTTTTTTTTTTCTTTCTTTTTTTCTTCTTTCATTCTTTCTTTCAGTTTCCTTTCTTCTTTTTTTTCTTTTTTTTATTAGGGTTTATTTTTTCTTCTTTTTTCTATTCGATTTTTTTTTTATGCTTGAGTTTCTTTCTTTCAGTTTCCTTTCTTCTTTTTTCTTTTTTTAGTTCTAGGTTTTTTCTTTCTTTTCTTTCTTTTCTTTTTTTTTTTCCTTTTTTTCTTCATTCTTTTCTTTCAGTTTCCTTTCTTCTTTCTTTCTTTTTAGTTAGGGTTTTTTTTTTTCTTCTTCTTTTTTTTCTATTTCTATTCTTTTTTTTTTCCTTTTATTCTTTTCTTTCTTTCTTTCTTTTTTCTTTTTTTTTTTCTTTCTTTTTTGTTAGGGTTTTATTTTTTTTCTTCTTTTTTTTTCTTTCTTTTTTTTTCTTTTTTTTTTTCTTTCTTTCTTTCTTTCTTTCTTTCTTTCTTTCTTTTTTCTTTTTTCTTTTTTCTTTCTTTTTTCTTTTTTATTTTTTCTTTTTTCTTTTTTCTATTCGATTTTTCTTTCTTTTTCTTTCTTTCTTTCTTTTTTTTCAGTTTCCTTTTTCTTCTTTCTTTCTTTTTTTTAGTTTAGGGATTTTTTTTTTCCTTTCTTTTTTTCTTTCTTTCTTTTTTTTCTTTTTATTGTACTTTCTTTCTTTCTTTCTTTTTCCTTTCTTCTTTCTTTCTTTTTTTTCCATTTTTTTTTTCTTCTTCTTTTTTCTTTTCGATTTTTTTTCCTTTCTTTTTCTTTCTTTCTTTCAGTTTCCTTTCTTTCTTTCTTTTTTTTTTTATTTTTTTTTATTTTTTCTTTCTTTTTTTTTTCTTTTTTTTTTCTTTTTATTGTTGAGTTCCATTCTTTCTTTTTCTTTCCTTTCTTTTTTTCTTTCTTTTTTCTTTCTTTTTTCTTTTTCCTTATCTTTTTTCTTTTCGATTTTTTTCCATTTTCTATTCTTTTTCTTTCTTTCTTTCTTTCAGTTTTTCCTTTCTTTCTTTTCTTTTTATTTTTTTCTTTCTTTTTTATTTTTTCTTTCTTTTCTTTCTTTTTTTCTATTCTTTTTTTTTCCTTTTATTTTATTTCTTTCTTTCTTTCCAGTTTCCTTTCTTTCTTTCTTTCTTTTTATTTAGGGTTTTATTTTTTCCTTTTCTTCTTTTTTTCTTTTCTTTCATTTTTTTCTTTTTGCTTTCTTTTTTTTTTTCTTTTTCATTCTTTCTTTTCTTTTTTTTCTTTCTTTCTTTCAGTTTTTCTTTTTTTTCCATATTGTTTTTATTTTTCTTTTTCTTTTTTTTCTTTCTTTTTTTTCTTTTTTTCTTTTTTCATTTCCTTTCTTCTTTTCTTTCTTTCTTTTTTCATTTCCTTTCTTTCTTTTTTCTTTCTTTTTTTTTTAGGGTTTCTTTTTTCTTTCTTCTTTTTTTCTTTTTTTGTTCCTTTTTTTTTTTCCATTTTTTTTTCTTTTCTTTCTTTTTTCTTTCTTTCTTTTCTTTCTTCTTTCTTTCTTTTTTTTTCTTTCTTTTTTTTTTTCCATATTCTTTTTTCTTTTCGATTTTTTTTTTTTTCTTTCTTTCTTTCATTCTTTTCTTTCTTTCCTTTCTTCTTTTTTTCTTTTTCTTTTTTTCTTTCTTTCTTTTTTCTTTTTTCTTTCTTTTTTTTTTTTTCCTTTTATGCTTCCTCATTCTTTCTTTTTTAGTTTCTTTTTCTTCTTTCTTTCTTTTTTCTTTTAGGGTTTTTTTTTTTTCTCTTTCTTTTTTTCTTTTCGATTTTTTTCTTTTTTTTCTTTCATTCTTTCTTTCTTTTTTCTTTTCTTTTTTTCTTTTTTTTAGGTTTTTATTTTTCTTTCTTTTTTTTTTCGATTTTTTCCTTTTTCTTTCTTTCTTCATTCTTTCTTTCAGTTTCCTTTCTTTCTTTTTTCTTTCTTTTTTCTTTTATTTTTTTTTTTCCTTTCTTTTTTTCTTCCTTTTTTTTTTTTCTTTCTTTTTCTTTCTTTCTTTCTTTTTCCTTTTTTCTTTCTTTCTTTTTTCCATTTTGTTTTTCTTTTCTTTTTTTTTCTTTTCAATTTTTTTCTTTTTTTCTTTCTTTCTTTCTTTCTTTTTCTTTTTTCCTTTCTTTTATTTTCCATATTTTTTTTCTTTTTTTTTTTCTTTTTTCTTTCTTTTTTTTCTTTCTTTCTTTTTCCATTCTTTTATTTCTTTCTTTTTTTTTCTTTCTTTCTTTCTTTTTTTTCATATTGGATTTTTTTTCTTTTTCCATTTTTTCTTTCTTTCTTTTTTCTTTCTTTCTTTCTTTCTTTTTTTTCTTTTTTATTTTTTCTTTCTTTTTTCTTTCTTTCTTTTTCTTTGTTTCTTTTCTTTTTTCTTTCTTTTTCCATTTCTTTTCTTTTTTTCTTTCTTTTTTTTTCTTTTTTCTTTTCCTTTTTCTTTCTTTCTTTCCATATTGTACTTCTTTTCTTTTTTCCATTTTCTTTCTTTTTTCTTTTCTTTTTTTTCCTTTTTTTCTTTTTCTTTTCTTTCTTTTCTTTCAGTTTTCTTTCTTTCTTTCTTTTTTTCTTTCTTTTTTCTTTTCTTTTTTCTTTCTTTCAGTTCCTTTCTTTTTTTCCATTTGTTTCTTTCTTTTCTTTTTTCTTTTCTTTCTTTCTTTTTTCCATTTTTTCTTACTTCTAGTCTTTTTTTTTTCTTTTATTTCTTTCTTTCTTTCTTTCTTTCAGTTTCTTTCTTTCTTTTTCCATATTGTACTTCTATTCTTTTCTTTCTTTCTTTCTTTCTTTCTTTCAGTTCCTTTCTTTCTTTTTCCATATTGTACTTCTATTCTTTTCTTTCTTTCTTTCTTTCTTTCTTTCTTTCTTTCTTTCAGTTCCTTTCTTTCTTTTTCCATATTGTACTTCTATTCTTTTCTTTCTTTCTTTCTTTCTTTCTTTCTTTCATTTCCTTTCTTTCTTTTTCCCATATTTCTATTCTTTTCTATTCTTTTTTTTTCTTTTTCTTTCTTTCTTTTTTTCTTTTTTTTTCTTTTCTTTCTTTCTTTCTTTTTCTTTCTTTCTTTTTCCATATTGTACTTCTATTCTTTTCTTTCTTTCTTTCTTTCTTTCTTTCTTTCAGTTCCTTTCTTTCTTTTTCCATATTGTACTTCTATTCTTTTTTCTTTCTTTCTTTCTTTCTTTTTCCATATTGTACTTCTAGTCTTTTCTTTCTTTCTTTCTTTCTTTCTTTCTTTCTTTTTTTCTTTCTTTCTTTCAATTCCTTTCTTTCTTTTTCCATATTGTACTTCTATTCATTTCTTTCTTTCTTTCTTTTTCCTTCCTTCTTTCCTTCCTTTCATACATTATGTTCTTTCATCTTTCTTTTTTTTATCCATTATTTATTTCGTTCTGGCGTTTCTTTTCTTTCTTTCTGATACATTATGTTCTTTCTGTCTTTATTTCCTATTTTTCATTTCTTTTTGTTTTTTTTAACTCATTCTTTTTCCTTCCTCCTCTTTTCTTCTTCCTTTATTTCCCTCCGTTTCCGTCTTCCACTTGCTCTGATTATTTCTAATTATAACCCCCACCACCGTTTATCCGTTATTAAAAATAATTCGGACAGAATGATTTACCAGAAACTGGGATTGGGACAGAAAAAAAACTAAATTGTAAAACCGAAATGAGGACAGAAGGCAAATTATCTTTGCTTTTTCGTCTTTCTCTGTTTACATTCATTTTAAATTTTCTTTCGTGGATTCATCAGAATAAAAAGTCTCGATACGGATAAAGAATATATAGGAGGATAGATCAATAAATACATTGCTATTTTCTCAATTTTGAATAGAAAATTTCACTGTGCAATGTTCCATCTGTTTGGCAATAATTCACCTCTGAATTAATGGAACTGTCAGGAAGAGGATTATTATGAAAAAATAAAAATAACAATTCGTTGTATATACTGCACCTTTTTTATACATTAGGCTACGGATTTATTGATTTACTAGTATCTCGGTCTCACCCTTTAACTGCCGAAACAGTTAAATGTAACCACCTCTTCTCCTCCCTCAGCTTCTTCAGTCGCACTTCCCGACAGCGGAACTCCCTTCCTCTTACTTTTCCGCTGATAACTATAATCTTCAAAAATTTAAATGTAATATCAATCAACATTTTCTGTTGCCTCGATCCCCGTTCTTCTTTTTATTCTCTTCCGTTCCTTTCTTTGTCCTTATCTTTATCCTTTCCTCAACCCCCTGCTATACCCAGTCTTTTCCCTTACTTACGCTCTCTGTAGCCCTTTACGTACTATTGGCACTTCCGATTACAGTAGTGTTCACACTGTACAAGGCCCGGGGCTACTCGAGGTAGACGGTTACGTTAAGGAATCATTTATATGGGTAGGAGGCTTCTTGAAGTCAGAGCATACGCTTGTCACCTTCCAAAGGTGGCAAGCAGGGGTTAATAATTTTCAGGCACGTGCCGTCAGTAATTGTTGGCAGCTTGTGACATTTATGTAGTAAATCTCCAAAAATGAAAAGATAATAATCAGTGTAACTGTCATAATTTTGTTGCATTAGGTGCATATTGTGCCACAGAAATAAAATGTCGCTGGTGATCTATTTTATTCAGGGTAGTCACTGCCTACCATGCTTACCTTGACGTCATGTCCCTGATAATAATAATAATAAGAATAATATATATATATATATATATATATATATATATATATATATATGTTATAATTTTTTCATATAGACAAAAACAATTTATTCACTACAGAGATTCAACTTCGTTTCGGTGCATTTAATTTCACTTCGTCTGGTGAGAACCAAAATAGTTATGAGCCATTTTGGTAGTTAGTAAATTCTTTTTGTCTATATGAAAAAATTATAATAAACAATTATTACTCTAATATCAATATTAAGCCCTCTTTTGAATTAATGCTGCGAACGTTAGAATTTATTTTCGTTCTCATTACATTTCGGATATATATATATATATATATATATATATATATATATATATATATATATATATATATAGATAGATAATGAAAAAATGAGATAGATAGATAGATAGATGAATCTACGAACGGAGATAGATAGATAGATAGATAGATAGATGAATAATGAAAGAATGAGATAGATAGATAGATAATGAAAGAATGAGATAGATAGATAGATAGATAGATAGATAGATAGATAGATAGATAGATAGATGAATGATAATTGTATATTTGGGCAGTCATTTTGCTTTTCTACAAGTTTCATTAAAAAACACTGACAACGTACTACGGTTAAATTTTTTATTTAATTTTTCTGGTGTCCTTGTGACTTTTTCTTCTCTGGAGATAAATAATGTAGAAATTGTCCTAATGTTCTGCATGAAGTATGCTTTTATTTTTACTTTTAACTCAATGTATGGATTGTTTTATGTATAACCATAGTTATAGTTATCCTTTATTTTCCAAACATGGTCAGCATATTGTGGCCGTGTTTATAGTGGATATTATTGAGTTTTGGCTTTTTCTTTTTTTTTTTTATTAATAATGCTTTCAATTTTTCTTAGCTATTTTTAATTGTGGCTGAGTCTATTATGTTTGGATTATCAACGAGTATTATTTCGAATGAAGTTTTGGTAGGTCTCAATGTCTATTTAAATGAGACCTAATTGAGCTATGGTCAGTAACGTGAGTCTTCTTGTTAAACATGTTGTAGTATATATACAATATAGTTATTTATATATTTTGATTGGTAAGGTGTTGGGGGCATATCATAGATTTGGTGGGGTCCCACGAGATATTTGCACCTAGAGTAAGCACAATTTTTACGGAGGGTCTTGAAATCAAAATAATTACCAAGGGAGAAAACAAAATGCAAAACAAGTATTTTATTGCAGCTTTGCCAATTTCTACAAATGTTTTCGTGAGGTAGAAACAAAATAGAGGCAATTAAACATTTGTTGCCGAATTAGTAATGAATTAATCATTAAGAAACAGCGACTTTCGTTTATATGCGGAAACCTTGATATTTTTACCAGTTCCCCGTTTTTCCCTCTTTCAATCTTCTGATTTCTAAGACATTTTTAGATTATTCTGCCGTTTCCCATTCTCGACGCACAAGCAATTTCTGTTCTCCATCTGATCCGTGTCTTAACAAACAGAAGTTGCCATTTTCGCATCACTGCTCATTACGTCATCTCCATTACTTTTCACACCGGGAATTCTGGGAATTTTATTCACTGATACGTCACGAATTTTTAACAGTAACATTTACTTACATTTCATTGTAACCTTTTCTCTTGAAAATGACCATCTCGCACGCTTTATCGTGCATTGTTACATTATTTCTGTAACCTAGGGATGGTTACCGAATAGAATAATCACAGGAAGGTTGGTAATGAATGATAATAATTAGGACAAGAACAACACATAAGCTTTGACGCGTAGAAGTAGTTATCAACTGTTAGGAGTGAGTCAATTTAATTCCACAATGAATCTCCAACTACAGGATATCTACCAACCGCCCAGCGCGACCAGATGTGGCTCAAGGTCGAATTTAATGTGGGGTATCCGAGTCCGTAGGCTTGGCCAAAAATTCCACGTAGAGCCCGTATAAAAAAGGTGTCGCGTAGCTGTTTCACGATACGAGACTCTGCCCTTCGATATAGCCTCGTCTAGGGATCCTCTCTGGCCGGAGACAGAGAGTTTGAAAAGCATAGTTGGAGACGAATCTCCAGCTGCAGGATATCTACCAACCGACACGCGCTGTCAGATGTGGCACAAGGCCGAATTTAATGTAGTGTATCCGAGCCCGCAGGCCCGGCCAAAAATTCCCTGTAGCTGTTTCCCGAGACGAGACTCTGCCCTTCGACATAGCCTCGTCTGGGGATCCTATCTGCCTAGAGGCAGAGAGTTTGAACAGCCCAGTTGGAGACGAATCTGTAAATGTAGACTCACGTACAGTATTTACTACTTTATTTATGTATTTATATATGGGGACATACCAATTACGGTCCGTAGGTATGCTACAACAATTATTAACTTTATTTTTCTATTATTATTATTTCTTTTTACTAGTATTTATTTTCATTTATTTTCTTACTTTAACCAAACAAACTATCGTCCGACGGTCATTAGTAAACAATATTTGATCTTGAAAAAAAACAAAAAAAAAAACAAAGAAACATTATCGACCAAAAAGTAGGACTCATTTTCCTTTCTGAAGCAGAGACTATGACCTAGAATTGGAATGAAAGTAGTGATACCAGGTAACATGAGTCCATCACAAAGGAAAATGACGTGGAAGTTATAAATAATTAATCTTCTCCTATTTGCCTTGTCCGTTCAGGACGCTTGAGATCATAGCTCTTTGAAATTTCTTGTCCTTTGCAGCTTTTAATAATGTTTTTTTTTTAACTTTTAGCCATTTCTCCCAAACGCTGCTCCATCATACATTCACTCAAACCCGCCAGTTGGCCAAAAATTCCACGTAGATCCCGTATAAAAAAGGTGTAGGGTAGCTGTTTCACGATACGAGACTCTACCGTTCGATATAGCCTCGTCTAGGGATCCTCTCTGCCCGGAGACAGAGAGTTTGACAAGCACAGCTGGAGACGAATCTCCAACTACAGGATATCTACCAACCGACACGCGCCGTCAGATGTGGCACAAGGCCAAATTTAATGTGGTGAATCCGAGCCCGCAAAATTCCCCGTAGACCCCGTATAAAACGAGATCGGGTAGCTGTTTCCCGAGACGAGACTCTGCCCTTCAACATAGCCTCGTCTATGGATCATCTCTTTCCGGAGACAGAGAGTTCGACAAGCATAGTTGGAGACGAATCTCTAATTGTAGACCCACGTCCAACAGTTATGCGTTGGTTTTCTCCGTCTCTCGTCCTGTGGGTATGAAATTTTCCAAGCTCTCTTTCCTCATTATGTGCCCCGTAAATTTCGACTGTTTCTCCTTGGTGTCATGCATAAGTGTTCTTTCTGTTGCAATTGTCTGTAGAAGTTCGTCGTTGTTCACATATTCAGTCCATGGAATTCTTAGCATCTTTCTGCAGAAAGACATTTCTTTTGCTTCAATTCTCTTCTCTAGTGATGAGGTACAGAAGAATGATACTGAACATTCCATGGATGGAGCGAGTAAGCAGCAAGGTGTTACAGTTTTTTGTGTATATATATATGTGTGTAACTTGTGAGTTAGCCAAAATGACTTAACTCCCTTTATAGTCTACCAATAGAAGATTAACCAATCAGAAGCTGCAGAACATTGTATCCGTCGTGTATAAAGGCGGCCATTTTTTGTTTACCCTACCCGAATGACCAGTGCCAACTTGTCAGGCAAAGATGACAGTAGGAAGAACTACGCTCTGCTACTTTGCTGCGATATTCACTGCTAACCTGAACTACGCTTTCCTACTGTCTCCGAAAT